CGAGCGCGAGCCAGCCTCCGCGCGGCTCGCACGTGCCTCGGGCTCCTCTGCAGCAGGCGTCGCTGGAGCCGCACGCGCTGCGGCTGCCCCAGCAGCCTCGGCGTCCGCGCGGCCAGGCGGCTGCCCCTGCATCCCTGGCGCCCCGCCCAGGCCGTCCACGGGCGCCGCGGCAGGCGGCCTGCCCGCCGCCTCGGGGGCCCCAGCAGGCCCCGCCGAGAAGGTCACGTGGGCGGTCGGCACGGGGATGTTCTGACCACCTCCAGCCGATAACTGCATCTGGTGGATGAGGGATTAGAAGCCCTGCAGCTGGGCCATCATCGCCGAGATCTGCGTCTGGTGGGCGGCCAACGCTCCGAGCGTGGACATGGGAGCGCCAGCAGGCACGGCACCAGCCATGCCACCAGCCACACCCACCGGCGCCACTCCAGCAGCAGGCGTTGCTGCGGGGGCAGGCTCGGCAGCCCTCTTGGCAGCCTCCTTGGCAGCCTCGTTCTCGGACTGGATCAGAGTCTTCAGCTCGGCAATCGTCTTGGTCATGTGATCGAGATCGCGCTTGGCCAGGTCGACGTCCATGGTGGCCTGCTTCACCTGCGTCTGCAAGTCCTCCAGCACGTCGTTCGCCTTCTGCAGGCGTTTCTCGGCGCGCTCGTAGGCCTCCTCCTGCTTCTGGAGTTGGGCCTTCACGCCTCTCGCGCAGAACAGCATCGTCAGCGTGGTCGCGAACTCGAGCACAGCATCGTCGTAGTCCTCGCAAGCGTCGAAGCGGTCGAGGATGATAGCATTCAGAGCCTCCAGCCTGGCTGAGGCCTTCTCCTTGTAGTTTTCCACTTCGGCGTCCGTCGCCTGAGGACCAGGCGGCGGCCGCCACCTGGGGTGCCCACGAGCCACCTGCGGCAGCGCGGGGCGGATGTGCAAGATCTCCTTCGCCGAGCGGTACTCGTCGGAGGCCTTGTCCTCGTCCTCGTCCTTGGCCTTGTCCTTGGTAGCAGAGCCTCCTGCAGCCGTCGGCGGTGCATCTCAAAGAGCGGGAGGCTTGCCAGCGGCCTTGTCCCTGCCCTTGCCTCTGCCCTTGCCCCGCGCCCCATCCTGCACAGGGGGGGCACTGCCAGAGCGCCTCGGCGGGCGGCGCCACGGCGGGGCATCGGGCTTGGGCGAGCCACACTGGCGACAATCCACACGTTCGTGCCAGTTCTTGCAGGAACAGGTAGAACAGGACCAGGGAGAAGCAGGCGGCGCCCATGTGACGGCAGGGGCAGCCTTGGTCATGTCGACGCGTCGTACTTGCTGTCGACTGTGGTGACGTTGTAGCAGTCGACGCGCCGCCTCCAGGCGGAGGAGGACGCGAGCACGAGAGCGGTCCGCTCGGGCTCGCCTGTGCCACGCAGGCTCTAAGGCCCGGCCTGCGTGACGGCGGCGGCCAGCACGGCCGCGGGGCAGCGCTATGGCGGTTGCGAACAAGCGGCGCGTATAGCAGCAGTCCCGGAAGTGAGGGGCGCGGCTACCTGGTAGCCTCCCAGGGCCCCTCGAGCCGGGACGGCGGCTGAGCAGGAGGAGGAGAAGGAGGAGGAGGAGGTGGAGAAGGAGGAGGAGGTGAAGTAGGAGGAGGAGGAGGAGGTGTAGGAGGAGGAGGACCCCCTCCCCCTCCAACTCATGGTGGTGCTGGTGGAAAAAAAAAGGCCCCTCAGAACGACGCGGAGGCACCGAGGGACACGTCGCCCCCGTCTACTGCAGCTGGCCCCCGAAGGCCTGCGGGTGCTGCGGGACCCTGGCGCGGCCCTGCGACGGGGAGGCAGTCTTGAAGCGCCTTGGGCTCTGTACGGCCCCACGCCCGCTCGAGCTGCACGCACTGCGGCAGCGTGTCGTCTTGAGCACCGGGAGCTGCCCAGCGGCGGCCCATCTCTGAAGAGGAAGCACCCTGCATCTAAAAATGTAGGAAAAATGCCCAAAAGATACCCGAAACTATTCAAAACTTAGTCCCCAGACTATTTTTTGATTATCCGTAAGGGCTTCGCCCCCTGCCGCCGGCCCCCTCTCTCGGAGAATGGGCCATGGAAGAGCTAAGTCATGAGGCCTTGGCGCTGTTGTGAAACAGTATCGAAACTTCATGCGAAGCCGAACGCAATCAGCAAAACCAACTGATCACAAGAGGGGTTACCACACCTGGCGATTGGTAAGACGTGTATGGTGTACGGGCTTGGTTACCACACCTTGCGATTAAAGGGCCGAGGGAGTTCTCGCAGTTTGGGTTACCACGCCTTGCGATGGATGTGCGTGAGGGTGGCACCGAATTTCAGAAATGTGGCAAATCCCCTGTGTTTTTGGACCCTGACCCCGCGGATCTGCGTGAGGGGTGGCACCGAATTTCAGAAATGTGGCAAATCCCTGTGTTTTTGGACCCTGACCCCGCGGATCTGCGTGAGGGGTGGCACCGAATTTCAGAAATGTGGCAAATCCCTGTGTTTTTGGACCCTGACCCCGCGGATCTGCGTGAGGGGTGGCACCGAATTTCAGAAATGTGCGTTTGTTTTTGGTGACCCCGCGGATCTGCGTGAGGGGTGGCACCGAATTTCAGAAATGTTGCAAATCCCATGTGTTTTTGGACCCTGACCCCGCGGATCTGCGTGAGGGGTGGCACCGAATTTCAGAAATGTGGCAAATCCCATGTGTTTTTGGACCCTGACCCCGCGGATCTGCGTGAGGGGTGGCACCGAATTTCAGAAATGTGGCAAATCCCTTGTGTTTTTGGACCCTGACCCCGCGGATCTGCGTGAGGGGTGTCGATTTCGAGCCCCTCCAGCAATTCAGACAACGCGCCCAGGGGGTGCTAAAAATCCTGTTTGGGCCTCCCCCCCCTCGCGCGGTCAATCAACTAGTTACAGTAACCAGCAAGAAGTCAACTAGTTACAGTAACCAGCAAGAAGCAGAACTGTAACACTGGAAACTACAAACTACAACTGGTACAGGAAACTGCGAATCACGCGCCTCGCAGCCTGGTGGCCCCACAAGGGGGCCGGCGGATCTTTGGCGTATGTTTTGACTATTTTAAATTTTTCGTCGCAAATCCCCATGTAGGGGAACACGCCCGACTTAACTGAAGAGGAAGCACCCTGCATCTAAGCCTCCTGGATGGGGTCGGAGTGGCTTGGGTCGGAGGATCGCGGCGCATCGCCGACGTCGACGATGCATCCCCTGTGCATCACCGATGCGTCGCCGATGCACCGGCGATGCGGCGCGATCCTTCGACACCATCTACTCCGACCCCATCTGGAGGCCTCTGCTGCATCCGTTCAGCTGGTGCACACATTCGGGCTGCAAATTCGGGCAGCTTTGAAACGGAGCCGCCCGACACCAACACCACCACGGACCACCAGCGGGAAGAGCCAGCGAGGGGTCCCCCTGGTGGTGTGGTCCCCCCCTCTCGCTCGAGACATTCCCTATCAATCCCTAGCTCGGGGAGGCATCGGGAACCTCGCTGGAGGTGGCCCCCTGGAGGTGTTGGTGTCGCTTCTCCTTTCCCCCACTGTAGCCGTGTATGTTGCACGCTCTTGTACAATGTTGGTGATCATGATCGAGGACGTCTCGGGCGAGAGCCACACTTTTTGTAATGGCCTGGCCTCCATCCGCGCAATCGTTGGAAACTTTTAGGACGACTGCGTGGCGCTGGGGCGAGAGCAACATTTTGACAACGATGTGCCCTCCATCCGTGTTAGGTGCTGAAAGCTTTTCAGGCGAATGCGCGCGGCGCAAGGCGAGAGCCAATCACCATTGGAAAACCACGGGTCGTCCAGCCGTGTAACTGTTGGATGGTGTAGGTTCCGGGAGTAAGTTGCCAGAAGTGTCGCGCGAAATGGTTGGCCTGGCCTACGGACACATTCGGTGGTGCGATCAGGAGGAGCCATTTAGAAGGACATGGGATGGAGGGAGGCAGGAGCATGTCGAGGCCGCATTTGGCTGCCACTGGCGGCTCCGTCTGCCCTGTCGGCTGGCAAACGGAGCCCGCGGCGTCTGCGCCCCTGACGGACCGGTCTGGCTTGGATCCGCGGGAACGTGCCGAGAAGAATCCATGGACAAAAACGCAAAAGCAACAAGCAAGACAGACACAGCAAACACACAAAAGTGTGCGTGGCAGAGTGCCACCACGGGCCAAAGCACCCGAGACAACCCGAAGGGTTCCCATTTGCCCGCCATTCCCAGTGGGGCGGGGTCGGGGAACCTCGAAGCACATGCATGAAGCCAGTCCCCCCCCGCCCCAAGCCGAAATGCGGATCTTCGGGTTTGGGATGGGGTGATCCAGTGATCGTTTTCTGATTCATCGTTTTGCCCATCGGCGCAGGCCCTCGATCCCCCCCTTCCCCCCCATGGAGTAGATCTTGGCTGTTTTTGGCGCCTGTTGCAAGCAGGTGGGGTCTCCCCCTCCATAGGACGCACTGTTGCAAATCGTTACATTGAGCAAAGGTCTGGAGCCAGACTCCCCCTCCTCCCCCCCTTTCCGCCCAAAGTCGAAACGCCGAATAAAAAAAAAACGTTCGCGTGGTCGGTAGGCAGAGTGGGCGACGCGGCGAGCCCGCGCGGGCGCTGGCGCTGGGAGCGGCGCTTGTTGGTGAGTGCTGCTGCTGTGCCAAGGGGTGTGCGGTAGCCGAGTGAGGTGCCAGACGGCACGGTCCTCCGGACACCTTTAGTTTTCTAATCGGGCATGTTCTTCGACAGGAGGAATGTTCAAAAATAATCAAGATCAGTCAGGGAACAATGTTTCTATGTTTTGGATGTTGTTGGAGCAGTTTGTTTGGTGATGCTTCTTCCCACAATGCCACAATCCGTCTGTAGGAGGATATGCCTGGTCTAATTTTAGTTCCCACCCACATTGAATAGCTCAGTACATCGGCTGGCTGGGTTCGCGAGTTCAATTTATCCGAAAGCGTTGCTGCTCAAGACAGCAGTCTCTAATTTCGCTGGTCGACCTTTTCGTCCCATCTGCCAGCTTGGAGCTACCGTTCGGCCCGATGAGAGTTGTTGCTCTAGTGCTTTCTCTCTCGGGCGCCTCGGGCACAGCGCAGTGGACCGCAATAAATGAAAGCAAGGAGATTCAGTCGGATAAGCAGAGGTCGGATGCCACGCTCTCAAAGCTTGATGCGCTTCTGAATTCTTCGAAAGAGACGAGTGCCTTCTTGCACGGAAATGGTACTGTTCTGAAGATCATGAATGAAGAGCTTGACAAGCTATCGGGAGACAATGCGCTCGCAGATCTTCAGGAGCAGAAGCAGCTGGTAGAGAAGGACAAAAAAGATCGACAAGAGGCAGAGACGGCGCTGACCAGAGCCATTGCGAAGGCACGCAGCGCCTCCGCGGCGGAGAAGCAGGCGGAGAAAGCCCTGGAGGCTGTGGAGAAAGACGTCGCCGCCAAGAGGGCGGACGTGCAGACTGCAGAGGCAGCCCTGCAGAAGGCGAACGACTACCTGGTCAGGCTCCTTTCTAACCCGGAGAAAGTCGGATCTCCCAATGTCCTTGCGGCGCACAGTGAGGTGGACGACAAGGCCACGAAGCTCAAGGCTGCAAAAGACGCGCTGGGGCACGCAGAGGGCAGCAGGATTGCCAAAGCCACAGCCCATGACAAGGCCGAGGAGATGGTCCGGAAGCGTAGGGTTCAGCAGCAGAAGGCACAGCAGGCTGTCAACGAAGCCGGTTATGTACTGAGGGGTGCTGCGGATACGCTCGAGAAGGAGCGCATAGCAAGTGCCCCCAAGAGGCTCGAACTCCAGAGGTTGCGCGAGTCGATAGAGGCTCAGGAGCGCGTCGTGGAGTCTCTCGAGTCCAGGAACGCCTCCCTGAACCTCAGCGTCAGCGCGACGCAGCACGATTACACCGAACTCCAGGAGGCAATCAAGCATGCTTCGTCTTGCAAAATTGCCCTCCTCGATGCCGATGACAAGGTCCATGATAAAGAGCGAACTTACAACCTGACCTTCGATGCGTGGCAGGCATCGCCGACGAGTGAGGGTCTGCGTGCGGCGGCATGGGATGACTTGGTCGCACTTGTCAGTGCGAAGTACGATCGATACCTGTCTACGAAGGGCTGTGCACCGAGCGGCCTAGACATCCCGCCGGCGTCCCCGCCCGCGCACTGCGAGCCGGAGACGCCAGGCACGTGCTCCGTTCTCTGGTGCGACAGGACTCGGCTGCACGTCGGTGGCAGAGGCTTGCGTGCCCTTCCTCCTCTCGGTGGGCGCTCCGGGGCAGAGCCTGAGCACGCAGGCCGCCGCTGTCGCACCGCACGCCACGGCCGGCAAGCCGCACCAACGGTCACTCTTGTCCAGGGGTGTTCTTCTCGGGAGGATCGACATTTTCGTACGGAAAGAATGGGTACAAAGACCAACAGCAGTGTTTGCTCATTTTGAACAGGACTCGCTGTTGGTGTCGCCGCGGCCTGTGTCCCTTTGAGACAGGAGGCCGCCTGCCCAACGGCGGCCGCTGCTGGTGTGAGACACGATGTTCTCTGCTGGGCACTGTACCCCTCTTCTGCGTACACTCAGCGTCACCCCAACATATTTATACTATATGTGGTTCGTCCCCCCAGGGGCGACGCGCGCACCGAGAAATCTTGTAGTATATGCGTCGTGGCGGGCGCTTTCTGGCCACACCGCTCGGGATACGATATACTACAAGATGGGTATACTATGTGTTCGTGTCGGACGCGCGCCTCCAAGGGGGACATCTAGTATTCGCATGTCTCTGTGCGTCCCGTGGACCCCTTTCGGGCGTCAAACTCTTATGGCGTGTGCCTCGAGGACGCGCGGAGCCTACTGCGACCTCCAGACCCACCGGTGCCGGTGCCCGGGGGGCTACTGCGCCAGGGGCGGCGGCTGCCAGTCGCGCGGCCCGCCGACGGTGGCGTCGCTGGACCGCGAGCGGGGCGCGCAGGGCGGGGCCCAGGATCGGGGGGGCCAGAATCCAGGCTCTTCCCCCCCCCAGGTGGACGCACCCCCATGTTTTGGTGTTGATATCCGGTTTCGGCAGCCTCCCACAGGAGCCGCCCAGCGGCGGCTGGACGTTCCCCGTCACCCTCGTCGCCGCGCTGCTGGCCGCGCTGCTGGCCGCGGCGGCCGCCGCCGCCGTCGCGCAGAAGCGGCGTGCGGGAGGGCGCGCGTGGGAGGACTGCGCTGCCGCTCCGTACGTCTACGTTCCGGAGTGAGCCGGGAGGCGTTTGCATGCGGTGTGTGGGGGCTCGAAAGTTGGAGCTGGCTGGGGGTCTGAGGTGGCCCAGCACTGGTTCCGGCCAGCAGGATGTGCGGGCGAGGTCCGGGGTGCTGGATTCGGCATGCTATGTTTTTGCGGTCTGCATGTTTCGGCTTCGGGGCCGCTCTCGGACCCCGGGATCTTGAGAAGCGGATCCGGGGTGAAAGGCTGCGCCGCAAGGACCCCTGGAGGAGCCCGGGGACCGATTTTGAGCGGATTTGGCTTATCCCCCCCGCTTGACCGATCTTCGGGGTCCCAGCCAGGTGAGACCATCGGACGGGGCTAGGACGAGGATAACACCGGTCCAGAGCGTGCCGGAACGCTTTCAGAGCTTTCCAGAACGCTTGGAGAAGGCCGCGGCGCGCGAGACATCCTCCAGAAACGCCAGACCTCAGAGCCTCAGAGGTTCTCGATCTATCTTCACCTGATTCTGTCTTCGTCCTGGCCTCGTCTTAGACCCCCAGGCCGCCTCCAAAGCTGACGTAGCAGCACAGGCGGCGCGCCCCGTAGGCGGGCAGCGTTGCCACTCCTTTTGTCACAGACGAGAGCCGGGCAGTGGCGTTCGCAACACAGGCCGTCATGCAGCTTGCAGGCTCAGTCCATTCGAGTATGTCGCGCAGCCAGGAGCACAGTGAGGGCCGCGTCCTGATGGATTGGAGAAATAATCGCGCCTTCATTGCGGCAAGGTGGGTCAGGGTTGGGTTCCGTAGCATTCGCTCTGTGGTGTACCTCCCTCTAGATCACGGTATTGCCACAGCACCCGACGGAATGCAGTTTTGCACGATCGGGGCCGCGATCATCGATTCAAGGTTGAACGGTCGGCGCGGTGTCACAAACCTCTGCGCGCGCCGACGCCGCGGGAACCTGCCGTATCCCGATCCCTTTCCCTATGATCGGCATCTCCTTCTCTCCGGTGCCGCTCCCGAGGATCCTCTCAGCTTCTGAGGGCACACCCCTGAGGTTGTCATCGCAGTGGGCTTCCCGATCTTCGGGGTAGGGAGAAGTTCGAGGCTGGTTCCCTCCCCCCGCCCTCGCCGCCGCCGCCGTCTTCGTCGTCGTCCGACAATTGGAGGCCGTCGCCCCCCTTCCCTCCTCCCCTCCCGCTCTTCTGCTTCCCCTCCTGCCCGCCATGCACAGCGAATGCTGGAGAAAGTGGTTGGGGCTAGGCCTTCTACTCTTTCCAGCCCTGGCCAGTTTCCCGCAGTTTTTTCCAGCCCTGGCGACCACATCCCTACCGTCTCAGGCTCGCTTCACCCCCTGTCAGTGTTTCCAGCCCTGGCCACTTCCACTTTCACTGGTTTTCCGACTTCACTTTTTCCAGTTTCCCTATAAGGAGTCGATGTCAGACGATCGCATCACTGCCTGGGTGCCAGAGGCACGGGCCAAAGTGTCTCCCCCGAGTTCTAGATTGGCACGGCCTTCGGGTAGACCGGGAGTAACTTAGCGTAGCGTAACCTCATGGAGGTTTTCCAGCCCAGGGCGCTTCTCCGAGAGCGCTGCCAGGGTATGAACATGCATATGCAACTTGTACGGGGCATCCTCGGGCATATCTTCGCTGCATGCCACGAGACCCTCAACGACTGGGTCACAATGTGAAATGTAATGCGAGCAAAATCAATGAATGCTGGCATTCGGAAACATCGTGGGGGTGTTTTCGGGGCCCTCGTGGGCCGTTTTGGCGCCTTCATGGGCCGTCCTGGGGCCTTCTTGGGCCGTCTTGGGGAGCTTGGGCCCGCTGGAGCCCCCTTCGGACCCATCTTGGGCACTTCCCCTCCCATGGCCCTTTTGGGTCTGTGCTGGGAGCCCTTGGGGGACCTCTTGGTTCCATTATGGGCTGTCTTGGGGCTCTTGTGGGCGATCGTGGGGCCCGGCTCGGCCGTCTTGAAGCTTTCTAGGGGGCCTTTTGGAGCGTCTTGAGGCGATCTCGGGGGCTTTGAAACCGTCCTGAAAGCTGATGAAATCCGAAAGCCGAATATGCTAAAGTTGTAAGTTTTACAAAAAGGAGCGGGACGATGTTTGTGTTTTGAAGGCCCCTTGGAAAGCTTTTAGGGGTGCCTTGGGGATCTTTATGTTGGCATTCGGAAACATCGTGGGGGTGTTTTCGGGGCCCTCGTGGGCCGTTTTGGCGCCTTCATGGGCCGTCCTGGGGCCTTCTTGGGCCGTCTTGGGGAGCTTGGGCCCGCTGGAGCCCCCTTTGGACCCATCTTGGGCATTTCCGGGGACCTCCCATGGCCCTTTTGGGTCTGTGCTGGGAGCCCTTGGGGGGCCTCTTGGTTCCATTATGGGCTGTCTTGGGGCTCTCGTGGGCGATCGTGGGGCCCGGCTCGGCCGTCTTGAAGCTTTCTTGGGGGCCTTTTTGGAGCGTCTTGAGGCGATCTCGGGGGCTTTGAAACCGTCCTGAAAGCTGATGAAATCCGAAAGCCGAGTATGCAAAAATTGTAGCTCTACAGAGGGAATCGGACGATTTTTGTGTTTTGAAGGCCCCTCGGAAAGCTTTTTGGGGTGCCTTGGGTGTCTTTATGTTGGCATTCGGAGACATCGTTGTGCGGGTGTTTTCGGGGCCCTCGTGGGCCGTTTTGGCGCCTTCATGGGCCGTCCTGGGGCCTTCTTGGGCCGTCTTGGGGAGCTTGGGCCCGCTGGAGCCCCCCATCTTGGGTATTTCCGGGGACCTCCCATGGCCCTTTTGGGTCTGTGCTGGGAGCCCTTGGGGGACCTCTTGGTTCCATTATGGGCTGTCTTGGGGCTCTCGTGGGCGATCGTGGGGCCCGGCTCGGCCGTCTTGAAGCTTTCTTGGGGGCCTTTTGGGGCGTCTGGAGGCGATCTCGGGGGCTTTGAAACCGTCTTGAAAGCTGATGAAATCCGAGAGGCGAATCTGCTAAAGTTCTAAGTTTTACGAAGGGCATGGGTAGATTCTTGTGCTTTGAAGGCCCCTTGGAAGCTTCTTGGGGTGCCTCGGGGGTCTGTTGGCCGTCTTGACGCAATTGGAGTCCCTCTTGGAGCGCTCTTGTGCTGTCTCTGGCCTCCCTTGAGCCTTTCTGATGGCCCCTCGGATCGCTCTGGGCATGCTGGCAAGGCGTTTGTGGAGACCCAGAAAGCCCGGTGACCTTTTCCAAGGACGTCCAAGGGAGCCCCAGAACCCCAGATCCCAGGGTTCCGTTTTTTTTTGGGTGGATGGGTTCCCCCCCCACCCGTGCTTGTAAACATATAGGGAGAGGAACATGTGGTTAGAGATACACAGATACACAAACACAAAAACAATATTTCTCACTGTCAAGACATCCACCCAGTGTGTACGTTTTGCCAGTGGAAAAAACAAACTTCCCCCCCCTGCCGTTCCCACCTCCCTCCCTCCCTCCCTCCCTGCGTTGCCGCCAGGTCGGCCCCGGCAGACCCCTCCTGGCGGGAGGGCCCGTCGCACGTGCCGCGGCGGGCGCCCCTGGGTGACCTTCGTGCTGCGGGCCCTCCCCCTCTGCCCGTCAGTGTGAGACTGTGCGGCTCTCTGCTCGCCTTAAGTCCGACTTAAGGCAAGCAGAGGGACTGTTGTTGAATATTCTTCCTGTGGAGGGACAGGCACGACTTCAGTTACGTCGGGCCTGTCCCTCTACAGGAGGAATATTCAACACCAGTCCAGTTTGGCATATTTTTGCACACATGTTTGGGTATGTTCAGTCTACTCGTTTGTTTTTCGTCCACACTCCGCCTGTAGGGCGGCACGCCCGACCCGATGCTTGTCCTGCTCCTCTCTCACCGCTGCTGTTCTGACCTCGGCGCGTCTCCTCACGTGCTCGCTGCTCCTCTCCCTGCTCCCCGAGGCCTCCTGCAAGTGCTCGATCTTCGATCCTCCACCGCCTCCCCCTCGACACAGTGGCCGCCCCAGCGCGGGAGTGTAAAGTTAAACGCCGCCAGTGGCTCGGAACCAGCTGACATCGAGCGATCTGCGCGAATTGGAAAGCGCCGGCCGACTGTTCGTGGCTGCGCGATCCACGCGGCGTCGGAGAACAGTGCCGAAGTCGTCACGAGGCGAACTCGCCGTACAGCCAAGACGCCAAAAGAAGGTCCGTTTGGGGCTCATGAGGGGCTATGGATTTCGGGTCGATCCTGTGATCTATGTCAAGGGATCCATTCGTGGCCGAGGCTCGCGAGAACGGCCCCTTCGTGCCTTATACAGCCTTTCTCCTGGTAGCACGATGCTCGCACTCGATGCTCGGTTCCCTCCGCCCGCGACCGACACGACACGAATGCATGGCTACCCCAGGCCTCGCGGGCCGGGCCCCTGGGCCGCGACCCCGTGGAGACGGGGCCTTTTTTTTCCGCGGATGCCCCCGCGCGGGCCCCGTCCGTGCGACCGCGCATCCACGGGACCGCCACCCGGGAGCCAGTCCGCCGCGAGGGCGTGGATTTGGCTACGTTCACCGCCAGCTTCTCGGTCCTTCCTTCCCGGCGCGCCACTCGCTCCTCATCCTGCTTTTCCTACTCCTCCTCTTCCTCCTCCTCCTCCTCCTCCTCCTCCTCCTCCTCCTCCTCCTCCTCCTCCCCATCCCCACCCCCTCCCCCTCCCCTCCCCTCCTCTCCCCTCCTCCTCCTCCTCCTCCTCCTCCTCCTCCTCCTCCTCCTCCTCGTCCTCCTCCTCCTCCTCCTCCTCGTCCTCCTCCGATCCAATACTGGTTTCAGCCATTCCGATCCGATTCGATTTTGATATCCCGGCGACCCGATGCGGCCCGATGATTGCATGGCGTTGTTGCGTATTCTGGCTCGGCCGATTCGATTCGGTCCCCGCTCCGTGCCGATGCAGCCCGATGCGATGAATATGTCGATTCGATCAGATTTCCCGATTTGATGCTGACTGATCCTGTCTCGCCCCCCGGCCCGCGGCTCCCTCCGCCGAGAGAGCGCTCGAGCTGGCGCTCGCGTGGGGGGGGGGTCCGCGGCAGCGCCCCCATGGCCGCGGCGTCCTCCTTCGCGTACCGCACCACCAGCTCCGCCTACGGCCCGGGGGCGGGCCGCGCGGGGAGGGGGGAAGCACTTGGGATCGGGGATCGGGGATCCAGGATCGAGGCTCGAGGATCGAGGTTCGAGGATCAAGGATGGAGGATGGGGCATCGAGGATCGATATTCCAGGCTCGAGGATCGTGGCTCGAGGATCGAGGGTCGAGGGTCGAGGGAGGATCCACGAACCGCGAGCCCCGGCAGCCTCTCCTCGTGGCAGAGGCGCGACGGAGGGCCCTGTGGCTGCGCTCGGGCTCTCGGGGTCCTCGCCAGGGGACCCAGGGGCCGTTCTAACGAACGGCCTTCGGGCTGCAGGTCGGGTTCCAGTCAGGTGGCGTGGATTGGCGACGGGTCCCGTCTCCATGGGAAATCGCGGAGTTCTGCCGCCGAACGAGGCGGCCCTGGCCGCATTCTGGGGAGGGCAGCCCTCCCCCGATCCATGGAGATCTGGCGGCCGCGCGACAGATCCATGGCTCGCTAATCCATGTTTGCGCGCCCTCGATTCCAGGGAAGGAGTCCAAGACCTCGCGGGGGGCCGCGCCGTGGGCAGAAATCGCTTCCGCATCCTTCCTGGTCGGAGTGCGCCCCGGGGAGAGGTCCCGAGAGCAGCGGCATGGTCGAGTTCGGCCAGTAGGTCGACCCTGCCGAAGCGTTGTGTCCTGCGCGTGAGCCACCCATGCCTTCTGCGTTCCTATGGCGATGTTCGGGGAACGTGGCATAAACATAACAACTCGGAGGTCCGCGCGGATTTCTCGGATCGGCGTTGGGCCCCCCCCCGGCGGCGCCTCCGGCGCCGCCCCTGGCGCGCTCCGCGCGCCAGGGAGGGGGGTCCAGCGCCGATCCGATAAATCCGCGCGGACCTCCGAGTTTTTATGTTTATGTCACTTGTGTTCCCCTAGATGTGGTCCTCAGAAGGGTCTCTTGTTTCCTCCCGCGTGTCTTGTCCAAGCAAGCTCACAGTCAAACTCGACTGCATCGATGTCTTCTCGTGCCCGCATGCGAGGATCCACAGGAATGTCAACCACGGCTCGGTCGGTTCGGCTGCGCTGCAGTCGGTTGCGTTCGGTCGGTTCGGCTCGGTCGGGTGCCGTGTCGTGTCCGCGCACGCTGTTTGCGGCCTGTCCGCCCTTGTGTAGGCTTTCCAGATGAGGTCCGAGTAAATGGGCTCGGAGGATCGTGCCGCATGGCCGATGCATCGTCAATGCGGCTCGATGCGGAGCCCGATTTTCTCCTTACCGACGTCGTCGATGCACCGCGTTCGTCGCCGATGCATCGGCGGTGCATTGACGATGCATCGCCGATGCATTGGCGATGCGGCGCGATCCTCCGACCCCGACCAGTCGGACCCCCTCTAGGAGGCCTGTACTCTTGTCAGTTCCGGTGTCACTGTCGGCTCGGGTCGGTGTTCAGTTTTGCCGTCGCTGTCGACAGCCTCGGGGATCCGGGAGGGGTGCAGTCGCCCCGGATCAGCAGGTCGACCCTGCCAAATCAAGGGTACCCTTGTGAACCAGAGCTTCGCGACCCGTGCCTCCTGCATTCCTATATGGCAGTGTGACCCTCGGAAGGGTCTTTGTGTCCTCTCGCGTGCCCTCTCCAATCAATCCCGACTGTAAGTATAGGGTCCAGAGCGTGTGGATCGGGCCAGACGAGCGGGCAGGATGAGGAAAGGGGGGGCCACGAAGCTCGCTGTAGGCAGCCGGTGTGCGCCCCGCCGCCTGGGCCCATGCCTCGATACACGCGGGCGCCTCCTGGCGCCAGGGGAGGCGCCAGGCAAGCCAGCCACTATTGTTAAGTCGGGCCTGTCCCCCTACAGGGGGATTTTCGACGAAAAATAAAAGATACCCCAAAAATAGTCAAACAATACTCCAAAAATAGTCTGGGGACTATTTTTTTAGTATTTTCTGATCTTTTGGGGGTATTTTCTGACCTTTCTGGGGAGGCGCCAGGCAAGCCAGCCACTATTGCGTGAGCTGATTCTCCACCCTGCCCTCGGCAGTCCTGCCCCGTCGCCCCCCCCCCGCAGAGGAGAGGGGGATGCGGCCACACGGGCGCTTGTGTTAGGTCCGGCCTGTCCCCCTACAGGGGGATTTTCGACGAAAAATAGAAAATACCCCAAAAATAATCCCAAAATAGTGCAAGAATAGCCTGGGGACTATGTTTTGACTATTTGTTTTAACCTTTTTTTTGTTTTTTGTTTTTTATTGTTCGTCGAAAATCCCCCTGTAGGGGGGACAGGCCCGACTTATCGCCTGTGTGGCTCCCCAGGAGCTGCGTTCCTCGTGCGGCGCCCCCGCTGCTGGCGTCCTCGGCTCTCCTCGGCCCTCGGCCTCCTCTTCCTCCTTCCTCCTCTTCCTCCTCCTCCTCCTCCCTCCCTCCCTCCCTCCCTCCCTGCCTCCCTTTCCTCCCTCCCTCCCTGCCTCCCTCCCTCCCTCCCTCCCTCCCTCCTGCGTGCGGTCCTCGGCCTCGAGCTTCTGGCCCGGGCGCCGCCCCGCACTCGGCGCGCGGCGCCATGGACTCCCACGAGCGCGGGGAGATCCCGGAGCTGCTGCGCGCCGGCTGCATCGGCGCGGCGGCCGCCTGTGTGGTCGGCACGCCGCTCGACGTGGCGCGGCACTCCGCCCAGGCTGCCGTCTCCAAGAAGAGCAAGCAGCCCGCGGCCCTGGGGGCGGCGCTGCGCGCGGCCGCCGAGCCTGGCGCGGTCAGGCCCACCAGCAGGGCGTGCCCTCCTGGACATCCAGAGGATGTGTTGCCTTGTTTGATCTGTGTGCTTTTGCCTGCATGGCTCGAAAAACAAATCGATGATCTCCAGGACGTGTGCTAGCCCAAGCATGAATATACCCCGTCCGGCTTCGCCGACAGCGCGCAGCGTGTGTCGGCCCTCCTTGCGCCGCCTGCGTCGTATTGAAGGGTCTCGGTTGACGTTGTGGTTACTCACACGTTGGCGCTAACATACGTTCTGAGGATTATCGGCAAATAACGGCATACACATAATTTCTCGGAGGCAGGCGGATTTGTTGAAGTGATATTGGGCCCCCTTGACGGCGCCTCCGGCGCCGCCCCTGGCGCGCTCCGCGCGCCAGGGAGTGGCAATCCACGACGTCCGCGCGGACTTTTTAAGCCATTCTGGTAATGCTGCTGCTTTTTCATGCAATTTCAGCCCCCACGGGCCAGATTTGGGCCTCGGGCCATCATCATTGTGCTCAGGACGAGAAAATACGCCTTAGGGAAGGGTTCGGGACCTCATGGGGCCGCGGGCTAACAAATCTGATCGTCGGATGTGTGGGTTCGTTTCCATTGTCTGGGAGCCGTGCCCGGGACCCCCGAGGGGTGGCGGATGTCGGCATATGCCCGCCCTAGTTTTCATCGACGGCATCAGAGTCTGTTGTCGAGTTCTCTCGTCGACCCATTTGGGTCGAAAGGTTGGCGCACGCATCTTCACTGGGCTCGCAAGGAGGCGCGCCAACGCAATCGGCATTCGACGAAGCCAGGGGGCCCTTTGAAATTTCGAGGCTCGGTACGGTGTTCAATTCTCGTCCGCAAGTTAAGTCGGGCCTGTCCCTCCACAGGAGGAAGATTTAGCAATAGTCAACGATAGTCCTGGCACGATGTTTCGACAGATGTTTGATTACCTGTGACAACTTTCAGACAATCTAGATCTTTTCTTCCCAACTCCGCCTGCCGATGTCCGCCGGTGCGCTTCGACCTCGGCGCATTCCGAATTCCGATGTGCTTCGATCTCGCCCTCGATCTCGATGCGCTTCGATCCAGCTCTCGAAGGATCTATCGATGGCCCCGTCCCCGGCCCCAGACCTCTCCGACGCCATGGCATTGTTTACTATACGCGCCCTCCGGGGGGACGTGCCCCACCTGACCCTACCAGGGGCCTGTGGCGCGGGCTGGCGCCCGCCCTGGCGCACGCGGCGCTGGCCCCCGGGGCGTTCCTCCTGTCGTACGAGCTGCTGAAGGGAGACAAGACGCCCTTCGAGGCCTCGGAGAAGATCAGAGTTCCTCCTCCTCCTCCTCCTCCTCCAGACATAAACATAAACTTGGGATCCGCGTTGGGATCCGCGTTGGCCCCCCCCCCTTCCCGGCCGTCGGCGCGCTCCGCGCGCCAGGGGGGGGGGTCCCGCGCAGATCCAAACAATCTGCGCGGAACGCCAAGAGTTTGTGTTTATGCCTCGTCTTTCTCTTCTTCTATGCGTGTCGGCGGCGAGCGAGGGGGGGAAGTGAGAAGGAGAAGGCCTCCTCGGAGGGCGGCGGGGCTTCTCAGAAGCCCTCGCGCCTTCGGAGAGCGTTTCCGCGTCTTCGGGGAAGGCTTGGTGCAGCTCTTCAGAAGGCCGGAGGACCTCCGAGCCTCCTGAGAGGGCCCGCCCCTTCTCCCTTCTTCGGGTGGGCTCGCCCCTCCTGAGGACTTCCGAGCCTCCTGAGAAGGCCGGAGGACCTCCGAGCCTCCTGAGAGGGCCCGCCCCTCCTGAGTGGGCTCGCCGCCACGCGTGCATATCTCGGGTCTCGATTTCTCGGGTCGGCGCCGGCCCCCTCTGGCGCCGCCCACGGCGCGGCGCCGCCCCTGGCGCGCTCCGAGGGTCCAGCGCTGATCCGAGAAGTCCGCGCGGACCTCCGACAGCGTATGTCTGGGGTCTACGGTCTGCGCTGCTCTCCTCAGGGGAGCAAGGTCGGAGGAGGGAGGTGCGACACCAACGCCACCAGGGTCGCCCTGTTGGTGCTGGTGTCGCCTTGCCTTGTTACTGCAAGGCGCCATGATACAGGACGGTTCATTCTTCCAGGCTGCAGGTTTCCCCAGGTGCCTCACTGTTCCGCACAGGCCTCAGACACAAGGGGCGGTAGATGCTTTTGGGAGTCTTGGAACGCATCCTCCGGATCAGGGGGATCGGGTTAGTGATTGGGCCCCGAAGCCCCCAAAAGGGACAGGAGTCCCTACAGTCGGCCCGCATTAGTAACCCTGCCAGCTCAAGGGTACCCTTGCGTCCTGTGCCTCGCGACGCGTGCCTTCTTACACTCCTATGGCGATGTGGCCCTCGGAGGGGTCTCGTGTCCTCTCGCATGTCCTGCCCAATCGAGGCCGACCGCAGATCAGGCTTGCCGTAGCTGGTGCTGCTTCGGGTGGCGACGCTTATGGTCGACGGAGCTGGGCGGAACGCCTGGGGCGTGGCCTCCCTCCGTCGTCCGAGGGCCGCCTCCTGCCTGCTCCTGGCGAGGCGGCCGACGGGCCTGCACGTGGGTGGGTGGGGGGGGGTCCAGGGAGGAGGTAGGCGGAGGAGGAGGAGGAGGAGGAGGAGGGAGGAGGAGGAGGAGGAGGAGGAGGAGGAGGAGGAGGGGGAGGAGGAGGAGGAGGAGGAGGCGGAGGCGGAGGTCGGGAGGCGGAGGCGGAGGCGTGAGGAGGAGGAGGAGGTAGGGGAGGAGGAAGGAGGGAGGGGAGGAGGAGGAGGAGGAGGAGGAGGAGGAGGAGGAGGAGGAGGAGGAGGAGGGAGGAGGGAGGATGGAGGGGGAGGAGGGAGGAGGGAGAGGGAGGAGAAGGAGGTGGAGGAGGAGGAGGAGGAGGAGGAGGAGGAGGAGGGAGGAGGAGGAGGCGGGGCGGAGGCGGAGGCGGAGGATGGAGGATGAGGAGGAGGAGGGGAGGATGGAGGAGGAGTAGGAGGAGGAGGAGGTGGAGGAGGAGGAGGAGGAGGAGGAGGAGAGGAGGAGGAGGAGGAGAGGTGGAGGAGGAGGTGAGGAGGGAGGATGGGAAGTGAGGGAGGAGGGGAGGAGGGAGGAGGGAGGAGGGAGGAGGGAGGAGGGAGGAGGGAGGAGGGAGGCGGGAGGAGGGTGGAGGAGCGAGGGGGAGGAGGGAGGTGGAGGAGGAGGCAGGAGGAGGAGGAGGAGGAGGTGGAGGAGGAGGAGGAGGAGGAGGGAGGAGGAGGAGGAGGAGGAGGAGGAGGAGGAGAGGAGGAGGTAGGAGGAGGAGGAGGAGGAGCGAGGAGGAGGAGGAGGAGGAGGAGGTGGAGGAGGAGGCGGAGGCGGAGGCTGAGGGGAGGCGGAGTGAGGAGGAGAGGGGAGGGACGGAGGAGGAGGGAGGAGGAGGAGGAGGAGGAGGAGGAGGAGGAGGAGGAGGAGGAGGAGGAGGAGGAGGAGGAGCGAGGAGGAGGAGGAGGAGGAGGAGCGAGGAAGGAGGAGAGGAGGAGGAGGAGGAGGGGGGAGGAGGGGGAGGAGGAGGAGGAGGAGGAGGAGGAGGATGGAGGGAGGAGGAGGAGGAGGAGGAGGAGGAGGAGGGAGAGGAGGGAGGAGGAGGAGGAGGAGGAGCAGGAGTTGGAGGAGGAGGAGGAGGAGGAGGAGGAGGAGGCGGCTGTGGGCCTCTTTGGCAGGCTGCATGGGCAGTGGGCCCCCCCTTCCTGCTCCTCCGGAGGCCGCCCTGCAGGCGCGCGCCGTGCAGGTGGTCGCGTTGCAGCCGCTCGAGTTCCTGCGCACGTGCCGGCAGGGCGGGGCGCTGCTGGAGCCGGGCGCCACGGAGCACCTGCGGCGGAGCGCCTGGCAGGCTGCTCCTCATCCTCCCTCCTCCTTCTCCTCCTCCTCCTTCTCCTCTCCTCCTCCCGGCGTCTTCCTCGCAGAGGGGCGCAGAGCCGAGCAGTGGCGAAGCGTCCTAGCTTGCTGATAGGCCCACCAAAGAATGTGCAAGAGCAGGTCCGGCTGAGACTGTCCTGTTTTAGCAGATTGGGTTTCTGGTCTACGAGCACGGTGTTTGTTCTTAGAAAAGGTTGGGGTCCTGAGAATATTTCGTAGTGGGCCTACGGGAATGCCGGGACGGTCGGTCCCTGCTCAACAGAGGAGGGAGATTTGAGAGGTTCCCGGTTCCAGGTTTTTCGGGCGTCCTCGTCGGCTCTCGGCGGCTTTCCAGCCTCGGGGCGCTCTCCAGCAGCTGCGCCGCGCCGAGAGCTTCTCGGGGGTGCCCGGAGCGTCAAGAGCGGCCGCTGGGGGCCCGAGTTATGACCGGGAAGCCAGCAGGCGAGGAATGATCAGGCGCGGCGTGCCACTCTGGCCCGTGGCGCCATCCTGCCAGGTGTTGCTTTAGAGGCGTGCCCGGCCCAAGGTGTCCCTGATGGGAAGTCGGGTATGCCCTGCTGCAGGAGGAACTTCCGAGAGCAGTGAAACAAAAGTCTGGGGACGATATTCCGTGCGAGTTTGACTTTTTTTGGTTTGATTTTTGACCATGTTCTATGATTCTCCCATGGAGTTGACCTTGGCTGTTTTTTGGCGCCGGTTTCAGGCAGGTGGGGTCTCCCACATCGGACGCACTGTTGCAGACAGTCGCATTAAGCAGAGGTCCGGAGCCAGTTCCACCCTTCCCGCCTTCCTGCTAGTACCGAAACGCCGAAGAAGGACACGTTCGCTGTGCACGACTCGCTTTCTTTGCGTCGCGATTTGCGGCTCTGCGCGACCCGCGGTTTGCTGCACCAGGAGGACGCCTCTAGACTTCTGTGCGTGGCGCTTCTTGTTTTCGGGTTCATATCCACGTAGGAAAGAGTTCGAGGACTCACCAACACCACTTAGTGTAGCCCTGCGTTAATCAGGGCTTCTGCTGGGGCCAGTGGAACCTGCCCGCTGGCGTCGCCAAGCGTCAGGACGCACGAGAGCTGTCCGTGTTGTCATCGCGTTGGGTTTTGATGCTGTTGGAGATCAAAGATGTGTAAAGTGTGGTCTGCCCAAGGCGACGATCAATTATCACAAAAAAACACGTCTCGCAAGAATGGCCGATCTATATATATATATATATATTCATATATATATATGTATATATGTACATATACAATAAAGCACGTGCTTCCTCGGATCATTGGCAATGGAGGTGTACATGTCGTGGCACCGCCTCTACCTTACTATCAAACGCGCGATGTAGGTTGAGGACGAGGGGGTGGAAATGCGGTATGTGCACAGAACACGTATTTTGCATTCTGTCCCACCAGTTTGGCCGTTGTTTCTATCTATTCGGGAATTTAGATCGAATGTTCTATTCCGAACTCTCATGGACGAATGTCCCTTGAACGAGTGCACAATCAAGAAGGCTTGTTCGTGGCTGATTGCGTCCCGTCTTGGAGCGGGCAAGCGGGCCCGAAGACGGCCACAGAGGTCGTTTCTTACCCTCCAGCGCGTAACGGTCGTTACCCGGGCCATCCCCCAGCCCCGCCGGGTAGTGGTAACGATCGTGCGTGGGGGGTGGGGGCCTTGACCACCCCCCCACATGCTGGTGCTCTCGCATACCACGGCGATCGCAGCGCACCCCCGCCCCGACGTGCCCCACCTCGCCCAAGCGTTACAGTGGAGGCCCATGCCAAGAAACACCCCGTTTGCCTCCAGGGTACCCTGGTTTTCTTGGGTTTCGATGGTCTTGCTATGGAGAGCGTGACGCTCCCACACCAACCATCAATGGACGTCCTGGGGTCTCAGGGCTGGGTTTCCTGTGCAGGGTCTCTTGCGGACTGGCCTCCCCTGGACCGCTGCCCGTTCCCCGCCCCCCGGGAGCGGCTGCTCCTGGCACAGCTGACCCCAAAGCCGCGGGTCCGAAGTGGCCGTGGGCGGCCCCCAGCAGGTGGCGGTCCAGGACGGCGGCCCGAAGACGCTGTGGCGGGGCCTCGGGCCCACCCTGGCGAGGGACGTGCTCTTCACGGGCACCTTTCTGGCCGCCTACATCGGCTTCGAGAGGGCGCGCCGCGGGGTCGGGGACGACAGGCCCCCTCCTCGGGCTCCTCGCTCCTCCTCTTCCCCCCCCCTCGAGCTGCGAGCGGCGGGGCTCGAAGAGAGCCTCCTGCAGCGGGGCCCCCTCCGCGGTCTGAGTCCTGGAGGCCTCGGGGGGCCGCCCCGGGCAGGCCTCTGGCAGGGCAGGGCCCGCACCCGCGTGCTCGCAGAGGGGCACCTGGTACTCGCACGGCCTGCTGTGCTGCCGCGGCCGTTCGGACTCGCCTCCAGCGCGCTGAACCTTCACCTCACTTCCTGCTTTTGAGTCGGGCACGTCCCTCTACAGGAGGAATGCTCGAGAACAGTAAAATCGTGTAGGGACGATGTTTCGGCTATTCTTTGTTGATTCATTTGGATCACTTTTGTCTATTCGTATTTTTTCTTTCCAAGTCCCCCTGCAGGAGGAGCGCATGCCCCACCTAATTGTACTCCTTCCTCTTTCCTCATCCAGAATCATAGCATCGGCCTGCGCACAATTTCTCAGAGGTCCGCACGGATTTCTCGGATCGGCGTTGGGTTCCCCTGGCGGCGCCTTTGACGTCGCCTTTGGCGCGCTCCGCGCGTCTGGGAGTGGGGTCCAGCGCCGATCCAAGAAATCCGCCTGAACCTCCGAGAAAGTATGTTTGCGCGGTTCTTCGTTCCTCTATCATGTTCCCCCTCCCCAGGGATGCCGCTCCGGTCCCAGCTATGGAGCTGGCAGCCTTTGGGTCGGCGGCTGCCGTCGCCGCGGCCGTGGTCACGCAGCCCTTCGATGTCGCGAAGACCAGGATGCAGACGCACAAGCTGGTGCAGTCCAACGACGAGGGCTATCTCGGCGGCGCGCAAGAGGGGGCCAGGCGACGGGGGAAGGCGTCCCGAGACGGCAATCCGCCTTTGGGAGGGCTTCCTGCCTTCCAATACGCCTTCTCGGCAGCTTTTCCGTGCATTTAGAAGGCCGCTGGCCTCGTCTTGGACTTGACCCACATCTGCTGTATACCGGTCCATCGGCTCTTCGGGACGTGCATCCCGGCCAGTTTCTAGAATTGCGTCCAGCCCTTGCAAAAAGGGGGGCCTCGAGCCTGGAAGCCGATGAATCTCTTGCCTGTCAGGCGAGGGAATGAACCCTTTGGAGGAACAGGAGGAGGGGTAGGAGGAGGAGGAGGAGGAGAAGGAGGAGGAGGAGGAGGAGGAGCAGAGCAGGAGCGAGGAGGAGTGAGGAGGAGGAGGGAGGCGGGTTAGGGATCGAGGGCGAGGACGGGGGAGGAGGGAGGAGGAGGAGGGGGAGGAGGAGGAGGAGGGAGGAGGAGAGAGGAGGAGGTAGGAGGAGGTGAGGAGGAGGAGGAGGAGGAGGAGGAGGAGAGGCCGGAGGAGGAGGAGTAGTAGGAGGAGGATGAGGAGCAGGAGCAGGAGCAGGAGCAGGAACAGGAGCAGGAGGAGGAGGAGGAAGGAGGACGGAAGGAAGGAGGAGGGAGGAGGCAGGAGAGAGGGAGGGAGGTAGGAAGGAAGAGAGGGAGGATGATTCTGATGCTGATGCTGATGCTGCTGATGATGCTGATGATGCTGTTGTTGATGATGACGCTGATGATGACGATGCTGATGCCGATGATGATGATGATTATGCTGATGATGATGCTGATCATGCTGATGATGACGATGAATATTACGATGTAGACGATGATGATGATGACGATGACAATGACGACGATGATGATGATGATGATGATGATGGTGGTGGTGGTGGTGGTGGTGATGGTGATGGTGATGGTGATGGTGATGGTTGTGGTGATGATGCTGCTGATGATGATGATGATGATGGTGGTGATACTGTTTATCATGATTATGCCGATGATGATGCTGATTGTGCTGATTGTGCTGATGCTACTGATTATGTTGATGCTGCTGATGATGAGGATGCTGAAAATTCTGATGATGATTGTGATGCTGATTGATGATGATGATGATGATGATGATGATGATGATGATGATGATGATGATGATGATGATG